CATAAATAAATAGTATTTAAGAGAATGGGTTTTGTTTGTAAAATCAAAAGAGTCTCAATTTGCTGTATTATAAGATAGATGCTAGGTCCCATTAGCTCTGTCACCAGTTTTTTTGTGGAAGGATCAGGCAAGAAATAGGGACAGTGGAGAAATTCCATTAATATTGCTATTACTGTTATTCCCATTTCTAATCGTTCCCATGACTGGGGACTGAAACTGTCTTATTCATTTCAATTCAAGATATGTTCTGACATCCTTTTCCTTTAGAAAAGAAACCAATACTTTTCACATTTTACTCTGGATAGTACATTAGTAGACATGGAACTAAGGATGCCACAGTCAGAGAAATAATAATATTGATAATGAAACAAGATATATCTAAATAAAGAAGCAGTTTTTAATGACTTCTAAATAATGGCTGACACCCAAACCCTAAGTGAAATGAAGCCCATGATGACTGCAGTGGTCTCACTATATTCTATGTTTTTTTCCTATTTATTAAAAATAATAACTTTTTGTATCTGGGAATTAAGTAAAGGTGTGTGAAAAACTCTGTAGTACTACATTTTGGCTTCAGTACAATTCTTCTCATGATTGATATATATCTGCACTCAACATTGTAACAGATTTGTCAGTTGTCTTTGCTTTTTACAGAATTTAACAGCCAAAAATCCTTATTATGGTACTATTGTGATTCTGTTAATACCATAGAATGCTGAAATAATTGTGATGCTTATTTTTCAGGGCTTCTAGGAGGAGATTCCTGAAATAATGCCTGTGAAATATTTTAGCACCTGGAATGTAGTTTATAAATATCAATCATTTTCAAAACAAACTCCTTATACATCTATTTCTTGTTTTCCTTAAGTTCCAATCTCCTCCTTGTTTCCTTTTATATCTTGTTGGAATTCTGTCTAAAAGCAAAGAATCCACAGTTGCTAAGACCTGACTGTTGCCTAACAACTATTGGGCATATCTTAGAATAAGATGGTTCTCTTAGGCAACCAAAATAACATTTTTCTTTTTTTAGCAATTAGTGCTGCATTTAGTTGTGATTCATTGAGTACCTCTTGGATCTTGTCCATAGTTCTCAGCAATGCTGCTGTCTGGCTTAATTTTCTTGTCTTGCTTTTTTTCTTCTTATTCTATGTGATGTTCCTGTAGCGAATGCCGCTTTGTGATTAAATATTACCAGACTGTTGAGTTCCATTTGCTGACATAGAAAGGAGAGGGAACCTTCTTTTCACTTCCAAATTTTCAGGAAGTGTAGATGGGAAAGAGTGGTAGTGAGCAAGCCAGAAATGGGTAAGGATATTTTTGGGAATCAGATTTGCTTAGGCCCCACAGTTGTAGATCTTGATGTTTCAAAAGCCTGGACTGAATCTACGACAAAGACAGTTGTACACTTGCTATGCTGCATTGGCTCTAACCAAAACAAACTTAAAAGTTTGTCCTTATACTGCAAGCATTTATCAGTGTGCCAGCCTTAAAAACTGTCTGCCAGCAAGTACATTTTAACAAGACAGCTGCAGTGAACTGAAGCAACCAAAGCACAGAGGGCTGAGATCTGCCATCAAAGCACACATTAATTTGCTTTCCCTATTAAAAACAAAACAAACGTTGGACTGTAAGAAAGTAAGGTATAGACATAATCCTTTTTATTGGAAGAGAAGCAATAAAAGGCAAAAGTGTACTGCTTTTCTGCCAGAGCAGGAAGAAATAAAATTTTAATGTTCACAGCAATGGAAGACAAATTTTCTAAAGGAAGCTGTAGAAGAGATTCTTCTGTTTTGGAGAAAATATAAGCCACTATTTGTAAGACTTGCTTGTCATCCAGCAGTGGAAAGTCTTTGCTTTGTGGTGCTTTTTTAGGATCTTGTTTTTTTTAAAAAAAATGTAAATTGCTTCATGAAGATAAAAATGGTAAGGAAAGAGAATTACAAAGGGTTCAAATTTCTAGAATTCATCTCTGATTCAAGTCACTGAGGTATTGGAGAAGACTCCTCATGCAATATGTGTCCTTTTTATATTTTCCTTGATATTGTGTGTTGCTCTTTTGTTTTTATGGTTTCTCTTTGGTTTTATAGTATGTTTTCAAATTATTATATGCCATTTTGAGTTGCTTTGCAATTTAGGTTGTTATCAGATAAATAAAGAAGAATTGTATGCTTTAACTCCAGCAGCTTCTCTGGAGGCAGCTGGCCTGAAAACCAGAAACTTTCTCAACCTTCTTGCAACCTCCCTCCCTGTCTTCCTCTGTCATGTCTCACTGTCTATGTGCCTTTTAAAGAGCCACTTACAAAATGGGAAAAAAGCACCAATGAAACGATTATTGCAATATGTATTAATGAAGGATAGGACAGAAACACAAAGGTAAAAGGAAAATAAAGTCAGCTTCAGATAAAATGCGGTTCTTCTCTGGTCTTACAACTCCTCAATTTATTCTGTCTTCCTTAATTTTCGTACTGCAGATTCAGTTCTGGATTGGTGAATGATATAAGCCCTGTTCAGACATTACAAAAAAGGTTATAACTTACATGCAGTAGATAAGAATTAACCCTTTTCCCGTGAAGTTGTGTGATGTCTAATTTAAAAAAGCTCCCATGCATTAATTTCCTGGTTTTAACTTCCATGGCCGCATTTTCATGTGTATGTGTATGTAGGAAGACTTCCTTGGTACAGGCATCCTTGCTGAGCACATGGATGCTTTTGCAAAAGAGATGTAATCCACATGGTTTTGAGTAGTGGGGTGATTTTAATTCTTTTTTAGAATGCCTGAATATAACTTTATTGGAGGCTGAAATTTAGATATTTCCATTGTTTAGACAAGGAGGGGTGAATTCTCATGTCCTACATAAAGCATTGTGAAGGCTGTCCAGAGTAGTTATTGAGTAGGGAATATTCACTTTGGTTATTCTTTTATACAGATCTGTTGCCTTTTATTGAATCCCAGTTCTATCAAAATGCCTGTAACCCTTTCCTGCATCACAGCAGATATTAGCCCACCAAGTTACAGCTGCTTCTTAAATACATGTAGTCCTTGTTTAATGACCACTTGTTCAGCAACAGTTTGAAGTTACGAACGGCGCTGAATGAGTGGTACTTACAACTAGTCCTTGAAGTTCTGGCTGTCCCAGTACCCCTGCGGTCAGGTAATCGCAATCTGGGCGCTTGGCAACCAGCTCACACAACAGTTGCAGCATCCCACAGTCACGTGATCACCATTTGTGACCTTCCCTGCCAGCTTCCGACAAGCAAAGTCAATGGAGAAACTGGCAGGGAAGGTCACAAGTCAGTCTGGTAAGTTGCTTGCACCCTCTCTTGTCTGGCAGCAGCCCCCTTGCCCCCCAATGCTCACACTGCGCTGGCTACCCACGCACCCTCTCCCGCCTGGCAGTGGCTACTACCACACACATGCTGCATCTCACAGGCCACCCACACACCTTTATCTGCCTGGCAACAGCTGCACCACCATACTCACTCTGCACCTTACCTGCCTGCTGGCCTGCTTGCAAGCCACCTGGGACTCGCTTAATGAACCGTGATCCTTGCTTAACGAGGGCAGATGGGCATGCTTGGATTGCCGTCACTAAATGTCTGTCAAGGGAATCCCTGCTGACAGGTCTGTTGTGGTGGCAGTTCCCCTGAGCAAATGGACTGTGATGACCTGAGGTGACTGTTGCTAGCCAAATAGGCCATATTTGGCAACCAGAACAGCACTGATTTGAAAAATGGGATTAGCCCCATCGCTTTTTTCCCCAAACAGGCCCTTGACAAGTAAGATCATTTGTTGCAGAATTAGAGTTTGATTTCTTTTTTTATTTTTTTACTTAAAACTTTATTAAATTTCAACAAAGAATAAAATACAGAAAAAGAGAAAAGAAGAAAAGAGAAAAAGAGAAAAGATCAGAAAAAATACAAAAGAAAAAAAGAAGAGAAAAAAGATAACTTCTGACTTTCTAAGGTACAGGCACAGATATATAATACATTCACCTCTTACTCTAATGTTTAAAATAATACAAAAGTCTATAACACTAAAAAATATAAGAGAAATTAATATAAAGTATTTCTATAGTTATAAAAAATACCAGTCATCAAACCCCAACATTAAAATTTCATTTCTTGAGAAAAGGTCCAAAAGTGGTTTCCAAATAGAAACAAAGCCAGTCAAAGCCTTTTCTTTAATCAAAGTAGTCAATTTCGCCATCTCTGCCACTTCCATTAATTTCACTATCCATTCTTCAGCTGTAGGTGTTTGTAAATCTTTCCATTTCTGTGTATATAAAAGTCTTGCTGCTGTTATCATATAAAGAAATAAAGTCCCATGTTGTCTTTTCATCTGTTTATTCATCATACCTGAGAGAAAAACCTCTGATTTCAATTGTACATCCATGTTTAAAATTTTCTGAATCAAAAGAATTAGAGTTTGATTTCATAGATGCTGACATTTGTCTTTCACTGATCTGTAAATCATTTTTTCACTTTAATTACTGAGCTTTAACATTTTAATTCTAGTCTGGCTCATTATTTTAGTGCTGTTTTTTTTTTGGTGGTAAAATTCAGTAAGTAAATAAAAGAAATATTCTTTGAGCCTCATAAAAACCCTGAAGGTGATTATTGATTAAAGATTATAATTTTGTTATAATTAGAGAATTATTATATGTAATTAGAGAAATTTTATCATCTACGCTAGTGTAGCTGGGAGTCGGGCAGCATATACATTTAATAAATTTATTATGATTATGATTAGAGTGTGATCTTGGGGATGCTGTAGCTGAATTTTTGGAAGGATAAGTTTTTCTTTGTCTTTGAACTTCTGTTGTCAAAATGATTTATAGTTAGGTCATCGATGTTTTAGAATAGCTTTCCCCAGCCTAGAGGTCTGATTAATTTTAAGTTCTCATTTTAAAAGTTAAGTTGAAAATGTGTCATGATTCTTAAAAATTTTCCACATGCTTAACTGTTTTTTTCTGTCTGTTTTAAACTTATCTTACACTTAGGCTAAATTTGGTAGAGGCCTTTGTGGAGGATGCAGAACTAAGACAGTCTCTTCAGGAAGATCTTCTCCGTCGCTTCCCAGACTTCAGTCGGATAGCAAAAAAATTTCAGAAGAAGGCCACTTTGCAGGACTGTTACAAAATATATCAGGCAATTAATCAGATACCTAATGTAATACAGGCACTGGAAAAAAGTGATGGTAATTTTTTTTCTTATTCCAAATATGGTGTGTCCAGGTTCATAAGCTTGAGAGGCAATCTGTAATTGTAACATTTGAGAACTGTTGTACTGCCAGTGTTGGTAGTATACACATGTGTAAAAGCTAAGTTTCCAGGCTTGGAGTGCCTTATCCTCTGACATTTGTATTCCTTTGTTCATTTAAATATAAGAAGAAAACAATTAGTGTAGGCAAAATGGAAGCAAACCCTATTCTGATTATTGAACTGATTTGAAATCAATATTATGCTATTAGGGCTGCAGCCTCAATCTCTCAAGTACAGAACAACCAAAGAACTGAAGCAATAAACTTAAAAAAAAAATCAGTGATCAATGGAAAGAGAAAATGGCAATTAAAATATGCTAATTGATGCAGTGAAACACTTGGGCAATTAGAAATTTCTAAAGTGGGCAGTAAGCAAAAAACTCTGGCTAGGGTATTCCTGATGCAGGGCACCATTACTCAAGATTGTTCACCTCACTTCTGAAGTAAGAAATGCTTGGATATAACAAAGTTTGGTTACAACAAAGCAAGATTTGCCACACTTTTCTATGATATGTGTCAGAGCATTTTCATGAGTTACGACTCTTATTATTACATGAGCTTATTTACATATGCATATGAAGTTACATACAGTATGTTCAACGAATCCATAATTACAATATATGTACCTTTCCCAGAGTTGTGTTACACATGCCTTTTACCAAATAATTAAGAGTCTGTCTTTAAAAGGTCAGTCCATACAGGATTTCCATACCCTGAATAAAAAAGCACTCAGTTTGTATGATAACTCCCATTATGTGGCTTTCCATGCTATTCCCAATTGTGGTAACAGAAAGGGAGAAAAACAGAGAATTTTAATTTGCTGAATAAAAAGTAGAACTAGAATAGTAACAAAGCAGGTTTGGGAGGCTAATCTTTAGAAATATTTGTGATTTAGGATTGATCATGTGAAAACCAGGAAAGATAAATAGAAATAAGAGGGGAAAAAAAGTAAGTTGTAAGTTGGTATGTTTGCTTTAGAATAAGAGGAAGCCAAAAGATATCACTCCTTGGTTGGTCATGATAAACATTAGTTATATTTTGTTCAAAATGTAGTCTTTACTCTGGCTGTCTAGAAACCTTCTGTATCACATTGTCCACAAAGAACCAAAATTATTTGTTACAGTAAAAATGTCTTTGAGCAAACTTGAAGTGGGTTGATATGATTAGACTCTTGTTCATAGAGGAGTAGCTAATGAAGCAGTGACCAACTTATTAAATTATACATAGGACCTGATCTAAAAACAATGTGGTTGTGAAAGTAGAAACATTCATTTGTGATTGAGAGGGTATGGATAAGTACAAATAGCCAAGACACTAAAAATATTGGTGTAACATCCCAAATTTCCAGCTTTTCCATCAAATAAATGAATAAGCCATATAGTCAGCAGCTCCTAAGAAGTAGCACGATCTTCTGCAAAGCAATCCTCCTCCCCCAGAAGGAATAGAACTCACTGTGTTGTAGAGTTAGATCATATAAGAATGCTAGCTAAAGAGTCACCTCTTTATCTTCTGGACTTTGCTTGGTGATCCAAAGGATCAGATCTACATGGGCAAAGTGGTTTGTGGCTGAAGGTAAGTACAGACGTTCTGGCTCTGGAAAAGTCTTTCCCAAACTAAAAACCATCTAGATGGATTTCAACTCATGGAATTCCCCAGCCAGCATGGCCATTGCTGAGAACTCTGGGAGTTGAAGTCTGCACATCTAGACAGTGTCCAAATGCTCATAGTAGGAAAGGGAGACTTTCATGAGGAATGTGTTATTATCCAAGAGAACCCTTAGTATATTTTGGAATTGCTTGTTGTGGGATCTCAATGTTGAAAAGAAAATAGATTATTGAAATTCATTGATAAATTTCAAACAAAAACTCAGTAACATTCAATGACTATAGGATGGGGCAAACCAAAAATATCAGTAACTTACCTCAGGAATGTGTCAGAACCTGATGGAGATTTCTGGCTATTAAGTTGAATTAAAACAAATTGGGTTTTAAAAAGGCCACGTACAAGAGCTGTTGCTTTATTGTATAAACTTTTTAAGGGCACTACATTCTCCAATCTTTTGGACATTAGTGATAGTTTCTCTAGCAGCTTGAACTGAATGGCCAGGCTGTTCTCCTTCAGTATAATCGTAAATTTGCATCTGACATCATTTAAAGTAGTTTTTTTGGCAAAATGGTAAATATAAAGATCTGACTGGTTCATTAAGTGAACAGAAGATGAACCTTCTAACTTCTGCAAAAATAACCCATCTGGTTTAAATATGCTAGTAGCTGAGGAAATTAAATAGCATTTTTTAATAAAGATCATCTTTAATTTGGCAGCATGAAAAATGCCAGATTTGTTATCTGTTACAACCTTTGTAACATGTTTGCCACTTTTGCCACCTGACTGCTACACTCAAATTTGAAGAAGGCTTTTAAAAAAACAACAATAGCCCAAAGAAGCAAACTCAGCATTTAGAATCATAAAACCAGAAATGTATTAGCTTCTAAAAATAGGAGCTGGAACAGAAATTTATAGTGTGAAAGTACATTAGTTGAAGATGTCAGCCAATCAGTCATGCTTTCTTCAAGTGGCTCTGTTATATTCATCCTTTTACTCAAGTCAATATTCTATAGCCACTGAGTATACTCTGTATATTACTTACTTACTGAATAGTTTTAAAATTCTCTCTCCTCTGGGTTTTTTTCTCTTCATTTTTCTTTGTTCTTCTGAAAATCTTAGTGTTCACTGCCTCCATCATTTATATGAGTGATTTTGGGGGTTATATTAGCATTTGGCAAAGTGGATTTGATCTAGACCAGTGGTTCCCAACCTTTCCTATGCCCCACACCCCTAGGAAACATATGATTAATGTTTGCAGTCCCTATAAAAGTAATATCACATTTGAAGATATGGTGCTCAAGGCACACTGGCAGCTGGCTGAGTGGTGACTTGTGACTCATCACTAAAGGACACAAGCCACTCTTTGTCGCACCCCCTGAAATTCCATCTTGCACCTACTGGGGTGCGGGCACCCCAGGTTGGGAACCCCTGATCTAGGCAAACGGTATTTATTTTACTGCATCAGAGAAACTCCTAGGTTTGAACAAAAAGCTAGATTGACTTATAATGGTTATACTATACTATACTGATATTAATGCCTTAGTTTATGTCAGCCTTACTAGATAGACCAGACCAGGGAATCAGGGAGGCATTTGCTTTCTGAATATTATCTTGTTTTCCAGGATTTAAAGAATGTTTCAGCCCCCTTTGCCTAGGTAATGGTTACTGCATATTTCTGGAAAGGTCACCTCCCTTACTTGCACCGCTTTTGCCTTTTGTACTGAGAGTCTTGCCACGTATGGAAGGACTCTGGAGTCGACTCTGCATTCCTATTAGAAGGTCTGACTCAGGGCAAGTAAAATAGGCAGCTGCTTAGGAAGCTAACCTTGGAGACAAGAGAACGGTAGGGAGAGTGTATGTGCCCATCAGGGGCCGTGTACTTGGTACCTAAACAAATGGTACAAATTTTACTAGTAAAACAGGTGGCAGTAATATGTGATCTTATGTAGATTTGCCTTCAAGAGTTTTGCATTATGGAGGCAATGGGATTCTCTCTGCTGAAGCAAAAAGGCAATACAATTTGCCTTGATGAAGTCCTTCTTGTTACTTCTGTATTGGGAAGGAAGGAAGGAAGGAAGGAAGGAAGGAAGGAAGGAAGGAAGGAAGGAAGGAAGGAAGGAAGGAAGGAAGGAAAGTCAGCCTTTTGCATCTCTTCCTGCTTCCTGCCTCCCCACCCTGGAGCTACATTGACAGTAATGTTACATAGACATGTTCAGGAAATCACCAGGAGTCAAATTAAGCTTGAAGGATACTTTATCTTTACTTGAGCTCACCATTTCACATTTATCAGACATTGTAAGATTGACAGATGGGCTTCCTCAGTGCAACAGTCTTGCAGGGAGTACTGTAAACTGTAGGAAATATTGCTGTACTAAACTCTCTTTCTATGGGCTCTGTTACTCCTGTGATAAATATTAGTAGTTGGACTTACTGTGAAGTCACTTCTGGTTACTGGATGATTAATAAAGAATCTGTTAATTATAAATTATAAGGTCTGTATGGGGGAAGTCAGTTTCTATGACTAAAAGGGAGTTTCCATCTAAGGGCAGAGGAAGAACATTTCTTTCTGGCCCAGCTTCTTACCTAAGTAGGAGTTATCCCTTTTCTGTTGCGCTATTTGGTAGGCAGAACAACATTTTGCAGTAAGTCCAGATCAGTACCCGTTTCATAATGGCATGCAAGTAATTTACAGTATTGTGCTACACTGTGGAAACAAATCATGTCTGCAGGTTTTGTGTTAAAGTTGTGAAGCAGACTCCTTGTGTAATAATAATAATTAAAAGAACAATTTGAACTTTTCTAGCCTTTCTGTCCAAGATCCTATTTTACCAAATATACTGAAATGTGGTCCAAAATATCTATATAGTACTTATATAAATTAAATTTCATATTGGGTTACTAAGGTAGGGTTATATTCTAAATGACTGGATTAAGGGGTCTAACTTTGCTCATGTTAGAAATGGATTGATTTGATTCAGGACTCCTTATGAAAAAGGAAAAAAAAGATGCTAAGCAGATCAAGACTCCGGGGATTCATGAGACTTAAAATTCTCTACTACTGACCATATAACTGAATGTATACCTTGATAAATTACTCCTTTTTTTTTTTTTTTTTGCCTTCAAGTTATTGTTGACTCCTGGTGACTGCCTGGGCTAGTCCCTGCAGTTCTTTTGGCAAGATTCAGAAGTGGTTTGCCATTGTCTTTTTCCTACAGTTGAGAGAGTGGGCCTGGGCCAAAGTTACCCAACTGGCTTCAAGGCTGGGGCAGGACTAGAACTCATGGTCTCCTAGTTCTAGCCTGGTGCCTTAACCATTACACCAAACTGCCTCTCAAGTTACTATTTCATAAATTGATATATAGCTGCTAACCCATTTTAAAATACCTGATAAATTTATGTAGGATTGTCAGTCTACTTATTGGCAATTCTTATCTATGTGTTTTATCTGTTGGCAGGAAACAACGATATGCTACTAGAAGCTGTATTCACAAAACCTCTTAAAGAGCTACTCTCTGATTTCTCCAATTTCCAAAAGATGATTGATGAAACTTTGGACATGAATACGGTAATCTATGAAAATAGAATGATATATGATTCTATTATATACAGCATATACTATGTCAGTTTATAGCACAGTAGCACAATTACTCATGAATTTATATGTCAAATGTTCTAAGGAAGGAATTGTAGAGACATGATGCCATACCAGAGATGGGCAGGCTCAGATCTCTTTTTAGGTACTAAAAATGTGCAGTGGGACTTGTTCGGAAGACTCAGAGGAGCACAGAGTTCATGTGGGCAGACACATTTGCAGTGCTTCTAGTTGCCATATTGATAATTCAGAATGCTTTGATTATTTACATTACAGAACTGAATAAAAGCAATAATAATATCTTCAGTATTAGACTTCCCTATCCAGGGATACATGCATACAGACATACTCATCATGCTGTTACCTTTCAAGTAAGCAATGTTATGCTTATCATCTCCATCATCAAGGATGATGATGATGATGATGATGATGACGACTCATATTCATTTTTTCAAGTAAAGCCTCTTAAACTTGCATCACCACCCCCATACTCCAGTGGTACTCAATGATATAATTCTTTTCATTCTTTTCCAGGAAGCTTTCATATTCCTTTCTTAATGTCCACTTTCTGTTTATTCAGATGGGAGAGTAACCTATTTTCTAATATCTTTTCATTAGTTCTTTCTCTTCCTGAAGTAGCTCTATTTTCACACTTATTTCTTACATTTCTTTTCTTCCATGTCTATTTTTCCCAAAATTCAATCTTGACTGGCAAAAATGGTCTGTCTCATATTCGGAACCTCTTATCATTTTGTATCCTCCACCAATATTCTCAGTCTTTCTTCCTAAACAGTCAAATCAATTCAGTTCTTTTTTTATCCATGTACATGCATGAATAGGCTTATGCTTAAATCATATATTTGAAACAGAGCTTTTTATAAGGAAATGCTCACAAATGAATCATCATTCTCATTCATTTTTGCATCTTTGAATGGCCCAGTAGCCTTTACCATATTTTCTTCTCTTATTCCCACTCATCTATTAATGTCATATAGCAAAGCCTTTTTTTCCTGGATTGAATATCACAATCTTGCATATGTCATGGTTATCACCTGGTGACCCCATAGATATTAACCTCTGCTGCCCATCATGGCTTTGATCAAAGTTTTCACGTAGTGCTCTTTAATACAATAAAGCTAACAGGCTTAGTCATACCTATGCCACATGTGATATTCCCTATTAATGATGAGAACAATACTCTCAGTTCTGGCACGTTTTGCTCAATATGCTACAAGAATAGTTTTTCCTAAATATGAACACACACTTCTCTGGTAGTTAGTATTTCTAATTTAGAAGCTACCTTGCAAGTCAATATCCTATCAGTGAAATGGTTCATGCAGAATAGTGACAGATACTCAGAAAAACTAATCAAATTGTGTAACTCAGAACCATGTGTACCAGATGTACTGCAATACCTGTTGTTCAGGTTAATAATAGTCATATGTTATAGAAAGAGTTTATGTATTCGTGTGTAGGCTTGTGTATGTATGTGTGTGTGTTAGCAATGAATAACATTTTGCAGAGCTGATTGAGGAAGCAATCCTTATTTCTGGGAAGACCCACATAAAAACTGATGAGAGAGAAATGTTGAGTGTTCTTTGCCTCCACTCCCATCAGATGCTTACATCAACATTCTCTAGCCTCATACCACAAGCTGTATTGGATTTGAATTCCCATAATTCCTACCCATAATACAATAAAACTATATCTTATTCCAGAAATATGAAGGCTCATGTTGAATGAATCAGGTAATTAAAAGTTCCAAATATAAGTATATTTGGATCTAAAGGGATGATCTTTGTTATCCTTTTTTAAAAGGATAAAAGTTTCATTAAGATTTTACTGTGTAATGCTGATAAAGATATAAATAATTATAGGTTAGAAGCCAACTCTTGAATTACTTAGGACTCTCTCTTTATATTTATTTATTTATATATCAAATTTGTCACTGCCCATCTTGTTAAAAAGCGACTCTGGGCGGCCTACAGAAAAAATAAAATTAATTAAAAATACAATATAAGAATAGTCCTAAATAAATAAGTGTTACCATCAAGGATTGATGGTAACTAGTGAGTTTTAGGCTCAGGGAATGTCATCAGGGCGCCAGCCACCTCCAAGGTTGGTTAAAACTCTTACTGCCCCATGCAAACTGTCAGAGCTAGGACTTTAGTCCTTTCTGGAAAGCTGGGAGGGTAGGGGCCTGCCGTACCTCTGGGGGGAGAATATTCTGTTCTTGCTCTTGCAATTCATGTTTCCTTTTGTCCTTCCATATCTTCCAGCTAAGCTGTTTTTTCTTTAAAATCAAACAACAAAATTGAGATTTGTAAAATGAAACTCCTGCCACAATGATGTGAAGTGGTAGAGCAGGTCATAAATATAAATAAGTAAATAGAATATTCTGTGCCAGGCTTTGTTAGCATTTTCACATTCATGGACAATTCATTTGTGGTTACTGGGATAGTAAACTTTCTGAAGTGTAAAAAACTAGACTCTGGTGGTTGAAGATTTTATGAGCTTGAGATTAACATTAAAACCTTTATGAATCTTTTATTCTCCTCTTTGCCTACAGTGAAGCTACAAGTCACCATAGCAACCAAATTACTAGCCTTTGCTGAATAAACTTTTTGTGCATGGATTGAAATTTT